TCTCTCTCTCTCTCTCTCTCTCTCTCTCTCTCTCTCTCTCTCTCTCTCTCTCTCTCTCTCATTTAGTCCCTGGTTTGATCCCAGGTTTCAGCATCAAATGAATGGGAAAAGGAGAAATAAAAAGGAAAGGAAACAGGACTAGGTATGATGGAGGAAGTTTGTTATAGATATATGGGAGAGCATAGCCAGAAGCAGGGGCCTCTGAGAGAGTCCAGAGTATACGTGAGCTGTGCAGTGTGAGAAAATGCGTAGGGCAAGGAGAGAAGGGAAAGACGGGAATCAGGTGCAGCAGCCAGGAGGCCCAAAAGTACAAAGGGAGACAAGGGTAACCAAAATGGCTAGGTTATATAAGGAAGAGCAGTCTAACCTCCTAGGCTGGAGAGTGTAGGGTGGTGGGGGAGTGTAAGCCAGGAGGGCCCTGTAACAGGTAAGGACTGAGGGATGGTGGGAGAATCTGGAGGCCAGGTCTGTTTTGATATGCTAAGTAGGCCCCCCAGCTATTTGTCCCAGGTTTGAAGCCTCACAATACCATTTATCATCTAGTTAAATGCTCGGTGTTTGAAGTTTTTGAATGAAACAGGCTCAGTAAAGAAAATAGCCTCTTGCAGTAAAAAGGAAAAATTTATTCCAAACTGCCTAGGCTGTCTCTTGAAAATCAGAGAGAAGCAACAGGGGGTGGGGGTGGTGCTTTTCCAGGGTTTTAAGGGAGCAGGTACCTGGGAGGAGGGAGGCCTGTAACTTGAGGTGGAAGACTTTGAAGTATATAACAGGTACTTGTGAGTAGGGATTGAAGGAGCTTAAATGCTAGCATATACCTTGATATGCTAATAGGCAGCACAGGCGTATGTTAATGAAGGATCAGAGGTCCCGTTTGAAAGAGATAAGGAGAGCACTTCCTTTAAGCAGGTAGGCACTGCGTTTTGTTTTGTTTTTTTGTCTTTTGTTTTTTTTTTTTTCCAAGTCCGTGAGGGGAATGCTGGGTACCTCTGCCCATAGATGAGTTCAGATTTTAGGGACATCCAGTTCTTACTCTAAGTGGGCTGGGGAGTACTCTAACTCCTGTCCACCCCAAATGCTGGAGACCTCAGTTGCATGTCACTAGTTTTCCTGCAGCTCATGGATTTCATAGGGACTCCCCAGGATCCCTCCTTGCTGGGGGAGGTGGCTGCTCTGTTCTCTGCCTTTCTGGTCATTTTTTGGAGCCTGGTCCTGCCTGGTCAGAGTGGTAGTGGTGATGTTGTCTCTAAGCTTCAAGGCTCCCTTCAGACTCCAGAGAGAGCTGGTGATATCCTCAGAGTGATTACTGGGCTGTGGCTACCTTCAGGGACCTACGTCATCATCAGATTTAAATATCATCTCAGCTCGGTAAGAAGTTGTCCCCCTCTCTTTCTAGTTCAGGAAAAAGGCTCAGCAACGTAAGATAGCTTCCTCAGTGTGTGTGGGCAGAGGATGCTTTGACTTCACCAAACATAGTGAGTGCCTGTAGCATGTCTTTCCCCTCACATGGTGGACAGGGAGTGACTTATTCTACCTTGTCAGCTCATATCTCCAGGTGTGCTCACTGAGCTAAGGGCTCCTTTGCTGCATGTACCCTGGGCATTCAAATTCACTATTACACGGGAAGTACAGTGTTTAACTACACCATGATAAATATTGTTATTACTGAAATTACAATGAAATTACCTGGCACGAGTGAGAAGGAAATACGGAGCAAGCAACAAACGCGCTTAGGAGTTTATTAGAGGGGGTGTGTACAGGCCTGGGGAATCGGTGTGCAGAGAGAGAGAGAGAGAGAGAGAGAGAGAGAGAGAGAAAGAAAGATGACGCGTCCAAAATTTTAAAAGCTGCCTAGCGTATGTGTATAGGGGGTTGGCATGACCATGTCATACGCAGATGACGGGCTCATGCATGTGCCCAAGTGCTTAGCTGAATCACAGTGGATATAACCATGCATACAAGCACATGGGTGGGGGGGCGAGGGAGGGGACAGGACGGGGCTTTAACATGCAGGCACTTCTGCCTGAGGGCTTGTCTGCATGTGCATGGCTCTGGAACCCAAAAGTGCAGCCTTATTTTGTGGCTGAATAATTACAATAGCCACGATAAATAGTTATAGGCCCTAAAAGCACGAAAGATGACCAGTTTCAACCTCACACAGCTTACAGATGGGGGAATTGTTGTCTAGGGAGAAAGTGAGTCAGTCAGTTTCCCAGGAACCAGTGTTGGGGAGACCCACCTTACCCCCTCCATCTGCTAATTTTCTCCAGAGCTTATTATGGGAAAGGAAGTGCTCATACTCACCCAGGGCTAAGGGTTGTGTAGAGCATCTGATATATCGTCAGCATTTGCTGTGGTCTTCCATGCCTTTTCAGTTAAAACTCAAAGTGAGCCATACAGTGTCATGGGCTCCCATGTCTGAATTGAATCCCATGGTCAGCCGCTAGAACGGGTTCTGCTCTCTGGAGGCTTGGTGGGCCTAGGCTGGAGGGCTTTCCAACTCTCCAGATTGGCCAAGGCAGCTTGGTTGGAGCATCTTCCTAGGTTTTGATCTGATGGATTTGTTCAGTGTGAAGGAAATCTTGGGGAAGAGAGAAAACGGAGCCCAGAGTTCCTATGTGCGGATGGGTTTGGTTCCTTCCCTGTGGTGCAGAGAACTGAGTGAGTGAATGCCCTGCAGGTGGTGGTGACAATCGCTACTGAATGTTGCACAACTCAGGGTCTCGTGACATTGTCAGAACAGCCTCATCTGCTAGGCATCACGGCATCCTCACTGTCCTCTGAGCAGTAACCAGAGGCCTCTGCTGGCCACAAACCATGCCAGATTCCCATAAATAGGTATCTGAGACGATTTAGACTCCCATCTCCATACTCAACACTCCCTGAGTCCAAAGCCCCCAGACATAGCTTTTACTTTACGCAGACAGGGGATCTCAGTCATCTCTTAATAGAAATCAAAGCAAGCTCAAGTACCCACTGTTCACTAATGCAATCCTGCAAAGGCAATTTATGTCTCTCGCGTTTCACTCTTTAAAACCATGAGATTCCAAAGCTACAGACAGCAGCCTAAGCAAGTTCCAAGGGAAAGGCATTAATGTGGCCGCAGGAAGGAAAGCCTTAAGTCGTGAGTGTGCCTAACTGAAAGCAGCGGTTCTCAACCTGTGGGTCACACCCTTTGGAAAACCTCTATCTGCCAAAATATTGACATTATGACTCACAATAGTAGCAAAATTACAATTATGAAGTGACAGTCAAAATAATCTTATGGTCTGGGGTCTCCAGAACATGAGGAACAGTGTTAAAGGGTCACAGCATTAGGAAGCTGAGAACCGCTATTCTAAAAGGTCTACATGTGCATTTGAGCTTCTAGAACACAGAGGTTCCCACAGCAGGGGAAACCCAAACACCTTCATGTGTCTTGTAGTTAACTATGATCCAGGGTGCTCATGGCTCTCACATTCCAGTGTGGTGGTCAGTGACTTCAGTCCCCAGTGCCTTATCCTGGCATTGGACTTGAAGCTACAAGGCTCATGGCTCAGCTGCGCCTGTCTTCCCAATATGTATTCTTATATCTAAGCCCTCACCCCTGGAGGAAGGGTGGGTAGGCTAACTTTGAAGAGCGTAAAGTAGCTCTTTTTGTGGTCATTGGAAAGAAAATGGCCCCCAAAGAGAGTGGCACTATTAGGAGGTGTTGCTTTGTTGGAGTCGGTGTGGCTTTGGTGGAGGAAGTATATCACTGTAGTGGTGGATTTTGAGGCCTCATAGATGCTCAAGCCATGCCCAGTGTCTCAGACCACTTCCTGTTGCCTGTGAGTCAAGATGTAAGAACTCTCAGATCCTTCTCCAGCACCATGTCTGCCTGCACACGGCCACGCTTCCCGCCATGGCGATAGTGGACTAAACCTCTGAACCGTAAGTGAGCCACCACGGTTAAATGGTACCGTTCATGTGTCTCTCATCTTCTTCCTCTGCTGAACTCACTCCCAGCTCTTCTGTGCACACAGGTTTCGATCTGATGGATTTGTTCAGCGTGAAGGAAATCTTGGGGAAGAGAGAAAACGGAGCCCAGAGTTCCTATGTGCGGATGGGTTCCTTCCCCGTGGTGCAGAGAACCGAGTGAGTGGTCGTTTCTCCTTCCGGGACTTCTGCACGCTCTGGGAAAGCAGGGTGCAGCCAGCCACAGCTGCCCACTCAGCACCGAGCTGAGCAGTACCGCAGCTAAGTAGCGCCTGGTGAAGGTTACACTGAGATGACAGAACTTACCTGCTCATCTGGGAGGTTAAGGGCTCTTTGCAGCTCCTTGATCAATGCGCTAATGACTTTCTCATCATTTCGTGCTCATCTGTTCATTTGACACTAAGCAGCCATTTGTGGATGCAGCTTTCTTTCAGCTCATTAAGGATCAGCCATTTTAGGGTTATCACTGAAGCACGATTTGTAAAAGCTCAGGGTCAGAAATTGGGGGTCAACCTGAAGATCCGAAAAGTAAAACAGTCAGCCCCTAGCTCTTACCTTGACCTCAGTCTGAAATGGCCATCCTGCCTCCAGGAATCTCAGAAGGAGACTGTGTGACTGAGAACTGTTTCCTCCCATTTTATAATCCTTTCTAGGGCTGGGATTAAAGGCGTGCACCACCATCATTAAAGGCATGTACCACAGGTTCTATGGAAACTAGTGTGGTTACTGGGATTAAAGGTGTGTGTTACCACAATCTGGTCTGGAAGGCTGACCAGTGGGACTGTTTTACTCTCAGATCTTCAGGCAGTCTTTATTTATTAAAAAAAAAACAGTTAAAATCCACTATATATCATCCTATAGCACCTCCTATGGACCAGCCATGGCCTCCCCTAGCTGATGTCTTTCTCTTACAATCCTGTAATGTTTTTGGTCAATGAAGATCCAGTTTCCATGTTGTCTGGGTGCCTTGTTTATACATTACAAATTGCGTGAGTTTTCTTCTATTCCCACCTGATGTGAGCATCCCTGCTTTGTGATGGAGAGAAGCTATGCTGCAAGCATTCACCTCTCTGCAGTTCCAGTGAAGGGCTGAAGGTGATCCCAACGATGAGTGGAGACACAGTGGTCACTGGGGGCATACAAATGGTCTGAAAACTAGGATGCTCCTGCATCATCTGATCCATTTTCCATCTTGTAACTCTTTAATTGCTTCTGTGTTTTCTTAAACTCGGAGGCCAGAAAGGGCAGACTGACATTCGCAATCACCATAGGAGTCTCACGTCTTGACCCAAGCCTCCTTTGTCAACTCCTGTATGTTTAGAGAATTCCAGGCACCTCCTCCTACTGCCAGGCCTTTGTTGGTGTCCCTCACTCTTGTCTGGATACCTGCTCTGCACCACCTTCAAGTATAGTACAACTGCTGGGCTTTAGCTACTGCTCTTGGGAAACCTCCACCTTTAGTTGAACCGTCCCTTCCTATACTCTCCGTACAGCACAGTCCTGTATTGAGTGTAGTGAGCTTTGTCATCTTTGCTGCTTCTTTTGCTTTGAGAGAGACCTAAGTATTGGTCCCTTCCAGAGTCATGTTGTAGAATTAATCACTGCCTGTAGCAGGGGGTTGGTGGCTCTCTCCTGAGAGCATGAATTAGATTGCAGTGAGAGAAGGTCAGATTTCAGCTACCCATGGTGAACTATAAACACAGCCTGGAGCACAGCATTGAGATCAACATGTGTTCTCCGAGTGCCGACTGTGCATTAGACTGTAGCATCACCTCAGCCAGAGCTCCAAACCTGCATTCCCTGAGAGTAAAGGAGAATGAGGCACATGACTCTTCTCCGAGCTTTATCTTTTCACCTGTGGAACAGAGACTGCACTCTGATCTCCTAGGTACTGAGCATCCTCTTCTGCAGCGGTGCATGGATGCTTGGGTTGATGTGAGTCACCTGGTCCAAGGCTCGCTTAGAGGATGTAAGGATGGTCAGGCTCCAGACTACACTCTCGCTCCACCCTTTCTCATGATTTCACCAGCGACACAGCTCAGACCCGAAATAATCACACAGAAACTATATTATTTAAATCACTGCTTGGCCCATTAGCTCTAGCTTCTTGGCTAACTCTTGCATCTTAATTTAACCCATCTCCATTAATCTGTGCATCACCACGAGGTAATGGCATACCAGCAAAGTTTTAGCACATCTGTTTCTGGCAGAGGCTCCATGGCTTTCCCTGACCCTGTCTCCTTCCTCCCAGCATTCAGTTTAGTTTTCCCCACCTACCTCTGTTTCCCTATAGCTCTGCTATAGGCCCAAAGCAGTTCCTTTATTAACCAATGATATTCACAGCATACAGAGGAAAATTCCACATCACTACTCAGAAAAAGAAAAGCATCATATGTGATTTAAGCATGTAGGAAAATTCACTGGAGAAGGAATGAAAAGGCGAGTGTTATACAGATGTGGTGGATGCCTCACAGAGGGCCCTTCCTGTTGCTGGAGATGTCTTGAGCTCCTGGGACACCTGTCAATCAGAAGAGCATCTTTAGGCTTTTACTCTATAGAATAGAGGACTGGGCACAGCTTCTGAGTGATGAGTTTAGCTTATGTGACACGAGCATTTTCCTGAGTGGGGATCACTGTGTGATCTGTTTCATATAGCAGAGCTTCACAACTCAGACATCCCAAGAAAGGGTAGCTTCCTCCACTTTCTAATGCTTTGAAATGTCTTCATCCTTACACACACATTTAATTTGCAGGCTAATTTCATTCATAATGAAAAAAGAGATGCCACTTTCAACATTACTCAATTCTTTAACACGTAAAGGGAATTATTACACATCTTCATTTGATTCTCACTATAATAGAAGGTGAGCAGGGCAGGAATTGCTCTCATTTATCAGGTACAATATCTGAGCCCCTAAGGAAGACAATCACTTGTTAAAATTTCACAGATAAGAGGGAACAGAAACTAGCCTCATGGTCAGGTAATTGAAGTCCAAAGCCTTGTTCTTTGCTCTGCAATCTCATATCTACTATGTTTTTGATGGAAAGAATTGTTCTTTGGATTTCCCACCCTTGATTAAAGTTATTCAGTCCACAAGAGTATTTGTGCATTGCTCTGTCTCTGCTTACTTGCCTGTCTGTCTTTCTCTCTCTCTGTGTATGTGTATGTGCATACACACATTATATTCATACACACATCTTTTGGTTGGATGTACATACTTGTCTATGTCTGTTGAGATAATTCAAAATTATAGGTGAAAGCTGTTTTCAGAGAGAGAACAATAGATGGATTCATGAAGAACAAAATGAACAGAAAGGGAAAAGTGTCTTAGGTGGGGACATCCTGTCTCTTTCTACGTGCATGGTGATTAAAGAAGTTTCTAGTTCCTGAAGGAAGTCTAGGTGCTGAAGGTGACAGGCTCTTTTCCTCCTTTCTGTACATGATCCTCAATGATGTCTTAGACCAGAGGATGATATCGAACAACTGGGTCACCTCTCAGCTTGGATCTGTGAGAGGAGAGTCAGCGAGGACCAATCTGAACTCATAATTTCTGTAACTATGTGAAGGATCCCTGAGGATCTGCAAATCTAAGAACCAGGAACCCAGACGCCTCCCCACTTCCCTTCCTGGATGTCTGGCCAGACAGCCTCCATCTCCTCCAGCAGCAAAATCCATGCTATGCGTGTTCCCAGAGGCAGTTTTCCACCCCCAGGGTAGACTTTGGCTCCTTCCTGGCCAAATTCTACAGAAGGAAGGAACAGTTGTCTGGTGGTTAAGAGAAAAACTATGGAGAGCCCAGACTCTCTGGGTGTGAACTCTGTCTGCTGTACCTCCTTGAGTTAACCCCAAGGAGTCCTGGTGCCCTGACCTACAATGCAAAGACCAAAATACATCCTTCACAAGTTATTTCCAGGGTGGAATGAGATGAAGGCTCACTGTCCTCCTTTAAGTTTCGCAAAGTACTCAATTTAAAATCAAGTCTTAGATGATTTTTTTAAAAAAGAAAACTATCTTTTTTTTATTTCACATACCAATTCCACTTCCCACTCTCTCCCCCCCTCTCATCTGCTCCACCTATTCCCTCCCTATCCACTCCTCAGAGAGGGTAAGGCACATTGCTTTGGGGGAAGGTCCAAGACCCTCCCTATTCTATCTAGGCTGAGCAAGGCATCCATCCAGAGAGAATAACTTCCAAAAAAGCCAGTACAAGCAGTAGGGATAAATCCTAGTGCCACTGCCAGTGACTCCACAGTCTGCCCCAACCATACAACTGTCAACCACACACATTTCAGAGGGTCTAGATTGGACCTGTGCTGTTACCTTACCTATCTGGTTGGAGTTGGTGAGCTCCCATTAGCTCAGGTAGACTGTTTCAGTCGGTGTACCCATCATGGTCTTGACCTCTTTGCTCATATTTTCATTTCTCCCACTCTTCAGCTGGACTTCGGGAGCTCAGCAGTTCTCCAATGCATTTCTCTGCCTCTGCTTCCATCAGTTGCTGGATGAAAGTTCTATGGTGATATTTAAGATATTCATCAGTCTGACTACAGGGCAAGGCCAGTTTAGGCACTCTTTTCTCTATTGCTTAGGGTCTTAGCTGGAAATTTCTCTAGTGTTAGGCTTCTTGCTAACGCCATGATAGCTCCCTCAATCAAAATATCTCTTTCCTTGCTCTTGTCTCTGTTCTTCCTCTATCTGGACTATTCCAGTCCCTCAAGTTCTCCTCCCCCCTCCCTTTCTCCTCTTGTCTTCACATTCTGCCCTCCATACTACCCCCATTCCCATGCTTTCATTCTTGTCAGGAGATCCTGTCTGCTTCCCCTTTAGAGGTGGATCTATGTATGCTTTTCTTAGGGTTCATCTTATTACCCAGCTTCTCTAGGATCATAAACTGTAGCCTCAATATCCTTTGCTTTTCAGCTAGTATACACTTATGAGTAAGTACATACCATGTTCATCTTTCTGGATCTGGGTTACCTCACTCAGGGGGGTTTTCTCTAGTTCCAGTCATTTGCATGCAAATTTCAAGATGTCATTGTTTTTTATCACTGAGTAATATTCCATTGTATAAATATACCACACCTTCTCCATCCATTCCTGGGTAGAGGGGCATCTAGGTTGTTTCCAGGTTAGGGCTATTACAAATAATGCTGCTATGAACATAGATGAGCAAATGTCCTTGTAGTATGATTGAGTATCTTTTGGTTATATGCCCAAGAGTGCTATTGCTGGGTCATGAGGTAGGTTAATTCCCAATTTTCTGAGAAACTGATTTCCAAAGTGGTTGTACAAGTTTGCATTCCCACCAGCAATAGAGGAGTGTTTGTTCCCCTTACTCCACATCCTCTCCAGCATAAGCTATCATTGGTGTTTTTGATCTTAGTCGTTCTGACTGGTGTAAGATGATATTTCAGAGTTGTTTTAATTTCTCTAATGGCTAAGGATGTTGAACATTTTCTTAACTGTCTTTTGACCATTTGAGATTCTTCAGTTTAGAATTCTCTGTTTAGTTCTGTACCCCATTTTTTAATTGAGTTATTTGGAATTTTGATGTCTTATTATTTCTTGAGTTCTTTATATGTTTTGGAAATCAGTCCTCTGTCTGATGTGGAGTTGGTGAAGATCTTTTCCCATTTAATAGGCTGCCTTTCTGTCTTATTGACAATTCCTTTGTTTTACAGAAGCTTCTCAGTTTCAGGAGGTCCCATTTATTTATTGATGCTCTCAGTGTCTGTGATATTGGTGTTATATTTAGGAAGTGGTCTCCTGTACCCATGCATTGAAGGGTACTTCCCACTTTCTCTTCTATCAGGTTCAGTGTGGCTGGATTTATATTGTGGTCTTTAATCCATTTGGACTTGAGTTTTGTGCATAGGGTTAGATATGGATCTATTTTCATTTTATGCATGTTGCCATCCGGTTATACCAGCATCATTTATTGAAGATGCTTTCTTTTTTTCTGTTGTATAATTTTAGCTTTTTTGTCAAAAATCAGGTGTTCATAGGTATGTGAATTAATATTTGTGTCTTTAATTTGATTTATTGGTCAACCTCTCTATTTTTATGCCAATACCAAGCTGTTTTTATTACTGTAGCTCTATAATAGAGCTTAATGTCAGAGATGGTGATTTCTCCGGAAGTTCCTTTTTTGTACAGGATTGTTTTGTCTATCGTTGTACTTTGTTTGTTTTTCCATATGAAGTTGAGTATTGCTCTTTTGAAGTCTGTGAAGAATTGTATTGTATTTTGAGGGGGATTGCATTGAATCTATAAATTGCTTTTGGTAGGATTGCCATTTTTGTTATGTTGATCCTACCTATCCAAGAGCAAGGAAAATCTTTCTGTTTTCTGGTATCTGGCTCTGTCTGTGACATGGGTGAAGATGGAAGGAGAGGTGGCCCAAGGTGCTCTGGGCAGGCACAGCATGACGGGCCTTTGGACCTCCATAGTACCTGAAGTTGTGTAAGAGGGTGTCCTGTGTCTCAGTGACAGTGCCATATGACCTGCATGGTTCATAAATGGCAGAAGCTTCTTAAAAAGATAGAGCTTTGTTGTCTAAGGTCAGGTCTTCATCGATGGTGTCTTCTCATGGTAATATCACATGACAGAAATGCTGAACAATGCCGAGGGGCCTCTCTTACAAGGGCACTTATCTGTTACAAGGTTCCACTCTCAAGGCCTGAAAATCCTCTACTACCTAGGCATTAGGATTTTAGCACATGGTTTTTGTAAAGGCATACCCTGATACCATAGCTACTTGGTATAGAATCCCTGGTAAAAGAAACACGGGAACAGGACAGGAGAGGTGAAGGCTGGAATTCTCCAGTGCAAGCATTCCTCAGGGAGGGTCACCTAGCACTTACTGGCTGTCAGTCTTCAGGAGGATGGGGATCCAGTAGATGAGCACTCAGGGTTGAGGCAAAGGCAGTGAAGTGGCCACAGTGCTTTTCGATAAAGTCTCACTAAGACACCGGTCTTAGTAAGAGGCACCAATATAACTGGGAGGGTGCTGTGGGCATCCTTGGGGGTCACACTGTCAGGACTCAGTAGCTGAACAGACATGGAAGCTTCCTTGACCAGCTTCCCATTCTTCTCACTAATCCTGGAACCATCTGTCAATCTCTCTGTTCTCAGGGATGTCTTCCCCCAAGGTCTGCCTGATGAGTATGCCTTTGTCACAACCTTCCGGTTCCGGAAAACATCTCGGAAAGAAGACTGGTACATCTGGCAGGTCATCGACCAGTATGGCATCCCACAGGTATGGGTAATGCTGCCTAACTTTGGGGCAAGTGCTGTGTCCTCCTCCCAGGAAATACTCTTGACCACTGTGTTTTCAGCAAGATGCTCGGTCCTGGGCCTAGGCAGAAGGGGGTCAATTCCATGGAGCCCCAAAGAACCTGTAGGTTCAGTTACTCTTTCCTCCATGGTTAAACCTTCTAAGTTACCGTCCTCTGAGGAATTTCTACCTAAACAGAAAAGTGATCATCTGCTCTGTAGTCTTATGGCACCTTGTCTGTTGGTGACCTCATATAGTGCAAGAAACTGGTTCAATAGTCAGGATCAGGTGGACCTGACCAAATATTGTATCACCTTCTTTCTTGGTGTGGAACATGGAGTAGGATTGCCCATGAGTCTTAGTTCCCTTAGCTTGAAAGTGGAAAATGACAATACTTATCAAGGACTATGGGTAAAAGAGTCAGGTGTTAATAAAATCACTTTTGCAAAGCACCCAGCAGAGTCTGATGTGTAATAGGATCAATCACGAGTAGATCTCTTGTATCACTGAAGGTTGTTCTCGGTTTCCTCACGTGTGAATTTCCAAATGCTTGTCTTACTGACCTATAAAGTATCAACTTTCAGTTGGGCAGTTCCTCAACAGCATGCGGCCCAATGAGGAAGGGCAGATCTCAAAGCCAAGTTCATCGACACAGGGCATCAGTCTGAGAGGAATGCAATAACTGTTCTCAGTGCTCAAAGGCCTGAGCTCTTAGCTTTGTACACACACACACACACACACACACACACACACACACAAACACACACACATATGTGTATATGTGTATATGTATATATATATGTATATATATATATATATATATTTCCAATGAGAGGACAAAGCTTAGAGCTCAGGCCTTTGCATATATATACATATATACACATACATATATGTATGTATTTACATGTATATATGCATACATGTAGACATTCTCACTTTCAACTGGGAGGAACTCTTCTTGATTTTCATATGGGGCTAAAACAAAACAAAACGAATTTCCACGGAATTGGACTCCAGCAATCATAATCATGGACTGTGGTCCGAGACAAACAACTGCAGCCGCTTCTTGTTCCCCTCTCTTGGATCACGATCACCTCCTTCTAAGTGCTCCTCTTCAATTCTCTCTCTCTCTCTTCCTTTCCCCATCATTTCGCAAAATAAGTAAATGCAATGACACAATTGAGGTGCTAAGAATGTAGTGAGGAGAAGGGAATAATGGCAAGGATATTCAGCCACTACTTTTAATCTAATCTAACAGAATAGAATATGATTTAGTCTAACAGAATATGATTTATTCTAGCAGAATAGACTAGGGTAGAATAGAGTAGAAGAGAAGTAAAAATGAAGATAGGATAGGATAGAACAGAACAGAACAGAACAGAACAGAACAGAACAGAACAGAACAGAACAGAACAGAATAGAATAGAATAGAATGGAATAGGATTGACTCCTGTGGTCAGAGATAGCCTTAGCATTGCTCTTCACTGCTCACTGGCGCAAACCTGCTCATAGCACAATTCAGATGACTCAACAATTCTTAATGCAGCAAGCCCTCCTCAATACCCTGCATATAGGTTGGTTCTACCATACCCATTTCAGAATAAGACATAGAAATGTCACAAGAAGCTCAGGAATTGGCCTCAGTTTGCACAAGTAGTAAAAGCAAAAGTTGAAAATTGGACTCAAACAGTTAAGGCCCTGAGTCTGTGCTTTAGTTCTCAGCCTGTCTAGGCCTTCCAGTCCTGTTGAATAACTCTGCCGTAGCATCTGTGGTCACACTGAGGTGCAAACTCGTTTTCAGTGTTAGCCATGGAGGGATCCAGTTTCCTCTGCGTGGGAGACTAAAGGCATTGACAGACTTCTGTTGGCTCTGGGTTCCTGCTCACCACCACTGCCTGTTAGCCATAGATTTGCTTCTCCAGTTTCTCTGGTCTGGCAGGGTGGTACTGGGCACCTGCCATTACATTCTTGTGGGGTGAGACCCTAACACCCCCACAGTCTCGGTCTTTTCTTTCATGGCATTTGCAGAGCTTTGTGCTTTCTGTCTGCCACGTCTGCTGATGCCCTCCTGTTGGAGTCACCAGGCTGTAGACATAGCTTGAAAACAGAGCCACCGCCATTTGTTGATGCGTCTGAGAGATGAAGCAGATTCCAGGAGGTCACCCAGCTAGTGTTGGTGGTCACACGACTCAGGCCTCTGAATATCTTGGCTTGCTTTCTTACTTGCCTGAGACAAACATCTGAGGGAAAGCAAAGTCTCCAGGGAGCACTGAAGATGATCAGGGTCGGAACTGAGGCCTATGAGACTACTATGAGGAAGTGGAGGACAGCGTTCAGTCACAACACAGTTACACTGTGTGTGTTGTGTCATGCAATTCGAGAGGAGCCCATTATTTTGGGTCACTCATTATGCCTGTAAGAAGTATGCAGGTGGGCCAATTAAAAGAAACATGAGGAACCCTTTGATTGTGTTGAAGGGAGGTTGAGTCAGAAAGAGAACCCAGAAGACCAGGGCTGTGCTGTGGATACGTTGGCCAGTTCTCTGCACTGCACAGGAACCTTTATGTAGTCTCAGGGGCTCTTTCCTTTCCACTTATTGATGTATTCATCCATTCAGCACCTTTTTCTTGAATGCCACCACGTACCACATGCTTTTCTAGCCTCTGGTATTACAGGGATTAACAAAGGAGAAGATCGAGTGTCTGTTTAAAGGATGGGAAAGTAGACTTGGAATAAACAGGTGTGCAGGTGTGCACAATTACTAAACAAGATAGCTTTAAATGTTGATCTATAACTGTAAAGGCAAGTAAGTGTAAATCAATCAAAACGTCTGAAAAAATGAGAAGTCTCTTAGACTCTAACGGTATACAAGTATTGGTGTGACGGTTAATTTTTTTGTCAACTTGACATAAGCTTGGGTCATCTGGAAAGAGGGAGACTCAGCTGAGAAGATACCTCTGTACGATCGACCGTTAGGCAGTTCTTGATTAATGATTCATCTGGGCAGGCCTAGGCCACTGTAGCCAATGCCACTCCTAGGCCGGTGGTCCTGGGTCATATAAGAAAGAGAGCTGAACAAGCCAGGAAGACAGCAGGCCTCCATGGCCTCTGCTTCAGTTCTTGCATCCAGGTTCCTGTTCTGACTTACCTCAGTGATGTTCTGGGACCTGGGTAAACCCTCTCTCCAAGTTTCTCTCTGATGTAGGAGGCCCTTTTGTATTTGTGTTGCTTTCATTGGTTATTAAAGAAACTGCCTTGGCCTAGTTGATAGGGCGGAACTCAGGTAGGCAGGGAAGACAGAACAGAATTCTGGGAGGAAGAAAGCAGAGACAGGCAGAAGCCATGATTCTCCTGCCCGAGATGGACGCTGGTTAGACTCTTGCCGGTAAAGCCACAGTCAAGTGGCAATACACATTAATGGAAATGGGTTAAATTAAGATGTAAGAGTTGGCCAAGAAGAGGCTAGATATAATGGGCCAGGCAGTAATTTAATTAATACAGTTTCTAAGTGATTATTTTGGGTGTAAGCTAGTGGGGCGGCTGGGACAAATAAGGGGCCCTGCTTCTTCTACTACATCTTTCAGTCATGGTCTTTATCAGAACAAGAGGAAGCAAACAAGAATCATTAGAAGAGACTGGTTTCTGTGATTTTACCTACTTAAGTTATTGTAATTAAGATTAAGCACAAAACCTGGAGTATATGTAAATTGCTTCTATGTATACTTATTTATTTTACCCTCAGCAAGCCTGTGATGCGATGCCACTTTCAATATCATTTTACAAATGAAGAAACAGTGCAGACAGGTTAAATAGTCTGAGGTCACAATGTCCCAAAATGACTTTCTGGTTTAGGATAATCAGGCAACATCTAAACTGCTGAACTATAATGATGATGATGATGATGATGATGATGATGATAGTGGTTGGAGTTAAGAGTGGGGTGTGGAAAAGGAGTGGGAACCAGCAAGGGGATGCTGATGCAACCCTGGGTTAGCAACCACAGGAAGCGATAGCACGGACCGGGTTTGATTCAAGACGGGTGAAGATTAACCTTAGTCGATGCCCCTGTGTTCATGCACTGCCCAAGTCTCCACACGTTCACTGCTGCATTCCCGATACCTGGCTTGCCTGTCACACACAGCATGCTCTGCGAGCATCCTGGAGGGGACGAAGAAGGGAGAGCATGGGTGAGGACATAACTGTTCATCCACCAGAAGCAAGCGGAAGTGACCTTCCTTGCAGAGGTGTCTTGTACGCAGCCACAGATCACTATGGATGTGGCCCAGCATAAAACTGTAAATGTTCTTAGAATGTTATAAGATTATTTTGTGTGTGAGATTTGTTTGCTTTTTGGAACTTGGTTGTCCGGTTCTTGAGCATAGACTTTGAAGATGACAATATAGCCCAAAGGAGCCAGTAGGTTAGACAACCCTGAGTACTTTCTCTGTACTGGGAGATTATGCAAAGGGCTGAGTGTGCATGAGTGAACCAGATATTTGAGGCTCTCACCAGTTAAGAGGCTTCATTCTCATAGCTTCAGTTGAGTCTTCTAGATGAGAGACAGGAGGGGATCACCCATCTGGTTACACACTGGCACTTGACATCTATGTTAGGTAGGGCAGGGTCTTAAGAGACCCTGAGATTAGTTAAGATTTCTGGTTGGTGTCATGCCTCAGGCCCTCTTCACTGGTCATTTGAAGTCTCACAGAGGCCCCAGTAGCCTCTTCTCATACTGAGTACATGATCTCAGCCTAGTGGATGAGCAGACTCAATCTAATTACTGTCCAAGTTGAGCACCCTACACATTGGCTACTGATACCAGCATGCTGAGGAGGAATCAGAGGCCAGAAAGGCACCTAACTGGCCTCAACTTAGACAGCTCTGAGAATCCTGGTGTAAGAGGCACAGTTGGCTGTGTCAGCATTCTCAGGGCTGATTCCACCCTCCCTACTTCTGCCCATGCTTTGTCCCATGCATGTTCAGGGAATGTATTAGACCCTCAAGGACTCTCTGTGCCTGTCTCCTTAGGTCTCTATCAGACTGGATGGTGAGAACAAGGCGGTTGAGTACAATGCTGTGGGTGCCATGAAGGACGCAGTCAGGGTGGTCTTCCGAGGTTCCCGAGTTGATGACCTCTTTGACCGTGACTGGCACAAGATGGCTCTAAGCATCCAGGCCCAGAATGTGTCCCTCTACATTGACTGTATGCTGGTTCAGACGCTGCCCATCGAGGAGAGGGAGAACATCGACATCCAGGGCAAGACTGTGATTGGCAAGCGTCTCTACGACAGTGTGCCCATTGACGTGAGTACCCGAGGGGCTCTTGTCGGCAGTGCCAGGGCCATCGGAGCGAACCCTAGAATCTAGATGCCTTAGTGTCTCCCTTGTCTGTAGTTCCAATTTATCATCAATTTATCAATCATCACCATGGACTTTCTGGGGGGCGGCACTTGACTCAGAAAGCTGCATATTGAAGTCCAGATTTCACATTCATTCATTCATTCACTCATTCATTTATCCATTCATTGTATACACATTGTGATCCTTCTGTTTGCTAGACTCTCCACTGGGCATTAGTGATACTGGTGCCTATAAGGGAGAGTATGATTGACATGCAAATGCTAGTCATCTTTAAAATAAAGGGCTCAACATCATTGGATGTTACAGGGAGGGCTTCTAGGGTACCAAGGGACAGTAGTACTTTGATGAGTTGGTCCAAATACTCATAGTATCACAAATCATATTCAAGTGGTGTCACACCATCATGGGATGAACAAGCATGGAGAGAGCTTGCAGGCCCTAAATCCTGTATCCTTTGCATGGCAACCTGGTCCTTGCAGGCCATATTAGTAGCAGCAACAAAGCAGCAGCAGCAGCAGCAGCAGCAGCAGCAGCAGCAGCAGAACACCCATGTTGTGCGTACTGTGTGTTTTAGTAGCTTCTCGGATCAATGCAAGTTCCATTATGATGGCTGCTGCTTCTCTGTCTTCTGTATATGTTTGCCTATTTAATATTGTGCAGGCATCCAGTTATGTTGAGCCTGAGTAGCAGAAAAGACATGAGAATTTAACCAACCCAGGGTTCCTATGAAAGGAAGACTCAATGAGATCATTCAGTCTGGTTAAATAATTGCCACAGTAGTCATGGGCATCGTGTACCGTGGAACTTAAAGGATAAGTGTCCAAACTGAACAAGTGTGGTAGCTGTGAGGAGGGAACCGAGAGAGGTGTAAGAGTCTGCACTTTCCAGTGGATACCCACGCCCGACCCAGGCTGCGCGCTTTCCCGAACTCGGGCCCTCGAGAATGGACGATTGTCCTGAGGGTTGAAAAAGAGACACACACAAAAGAGACCTTTGCTCATTTACCAGAGTAAATGGCCACTTTATTAAACTCAAGTCGGGTATATATACCAGTGGGCTAGAGGGATCGAAAATGCAAGGCCTCCTCCCATCCAGGAGCAGGAGGAGAAGATTAAAGCTTCCCTGCCCGAGGGG